ATCTCATTTGGCTTAGAGTTTTACTTGGTTACTTCGATTTTTTTACTTAGGTGCTTAGATTTTGCTTAGTTTTTTCTTACTCCGAGTTTCTTCCGTTTCTCCTTTTACTTATATATTTTTTTCTTTACTTGCTGACACTTGTGTCTGTGTGGTGTTTGGCACCAGGACATCGGCTCCTGGAAAAGATGTGGGTGCAGCAGAGAATTCACAAGGTGTTTGAGTTACCGTTTCTGCTCAGTGTTGCAGAAAGTTTTCACTTTTGTTTGCTTTTTGTTGTTGTCTGGGTGGGGTTGTACTCTTGACTTCCACAGTTAGAAACTGCCTGAAACAATTATGTTTTATCCATAATCTTCATTTCTGAGTCATCTCTCCCTTATAATCCCTTAACAAGGAAAATTGCAGTGTGTAATTTCATGGTTAACAGTTACTACAGTTTTACATCATGTCCTCTGAGGTGCCATATTTTTCATTCCAGTAGGAATTCACCCATCAGGCTCCTGGTTTTTTGGATTAGTGACCGAAGAGGAACTAGGAAAAGTATAAATACTAAAAGTTGGATTGGACTTAGCCATTAGGTAAAAGACGTAAGGTGTGCTGGAGCCCCAGATTGAGTGTGGGGGCCAAACCAAGGGTTAGAAAGTAGGTAACAAAAAAGTGGTATTAATTATAATTCTAAAGTCTTTAGGGTTTTTTTTGTGAATGATTCTTTTAGAATTGCCAGAGTTAGAAGAGGTCTTCATCAAGTCCAACTGTTTGCTTTGCAGCAGAAAGAACAGGGTCACATTGTCCCTTGGAAAGACACTTCTAAGTCAAATCTTGAGTGTTAAGAGTAAGTTCTGTGTGCTGTGTGTTGGCAGAACACCCGTGAGACTGCCCAGGCCATCAAGGGCATGCACATCCGCAAGGCCACCAAGTACCTGAAGGATGTCACCCTGAAGAAGCAATGTGTGCCCTTCCGCCGCTACAATGGTGGCGTCGGCAGGTGTGCCCAGGTGAGAGCCCAGGGTGTGGTGGGCAGGGGTGGGGACTGCTCCATGTTGATAGACTTGGGGTAAAATGTGGAATCACAGTGTGGGTTGGGCTGGGGGGGCTGAGAAGCTCATGTCACATCAGGGACACCTTCCACTAGACCAGGTTGCTCCTGAGGGAGAAAGGAGTTAATGCTCATCCCAGTACAGCTTTGCATCTGCTTGCTGGGTCTGCATCTGGGCAGTGTTGTGTGAGGGGTCAGATGTGGTTGTTTTGGTACTCAGCAAAATGGAAGGGATTGTAGTCCACTCCAGTCTGTAAATTCTGTGGTCCTCAGCGCAAGAAAAGCATGGACCTGCTGGAGTGAGGCCAGAGGAGGCACCAAGATGATTAGAGGGCTTGAGCCAGGCTGGGAGAGCTGGGGGGGTTCAGCCTGGAGGAGAGAAGCTCCAGAGAGACCTTAGAGCTCCTTCCAGTGCCTAAAGAAGCACCAAGAGAGCTGGAGAGGGACCTGGGACAAGGGATGGAGGGACAGGACAAGGGGAAATGGCTTCCCACTGCCAGAGGACAGGGACAGATGGGATATTGGGAAGGAGTTCTTCCCTTCAAGTGTGGTGAGACACTGGCACAGGTTGCCAGAGCAGCTGTGGCTGTTCATCTCTGGAAGTGTTCCAGGCCAGGTTGGATGGGATTTGGAGCAACCTGGGCTTATGGAAGTTGTACCTGCCCATGGCAGGGCGTGGATTAGAGGTCCTTCAAGGTCCTTCCAACCCAAGCCATTCTGGGGTTCTGTGATCACACAAGTCAATGGTGCCTGAAGGGCAAGTTAAATTGTGTTGTACCAGGACAAAAGCAGAAGTTCCACTGTTGTGTTCCCATTCCAGGCCAAGCAGTGGGGCTGGACCCAGGGACGTTGGCCCAAGAAGAGCGCAGAGTTCCTGCTGCACATGCTGAAGAATGCAGAGAGCAACGCTGAGCTCAAGGTGGGTGTTCTGAGCACAGAGGGATGGTGTCATGCTGTGTGTCACCACCCCTGACCAAGGTGTCCCTGAGCTGGAGGGATGGGAAACACCTGTTTGTCCATGGGCTTAGTGTGATCCCCCTGGAATTAGGCTGTGTATGGTTTTCAAGCTAAAATGGGAGTAACTTTTCACAGTTTTAACTGTTAGGTGTTTATATGTCTTAAAATCTGTGTAACAAAGTGAAATCTGCAGGTTCTTGGTCAGTTTGTGTCTTTATAGTAGTCCGTGTGTAATTTGGAGGTTTGATTGCAGTGGTGACCATGACATAACCATAGATAATGAGCCACCAGCATGATTTGTAATTATTGTGACACCTGAGGGTGTCTCTGTCCTTGTGACTTGGGTTGAGGCTTGCTTGGGAAACCCTCAGCAAAGTGACACTGCCAAGCTTGGCTGTTCCAGTGATAAGTCCTGGGAGAACTCTAAGCTCCGTGACACCACCACACTCAGCTGTGTCATTAACCAGTGTGTGTCTGAGGTGATCGCTCCCCTCTCTGCTGTGGAGCTGACTGATTTGAGAACAAACCCAAGCCCTGGGTCCATTTCTCCACAGGGTCTGGATGTGGATTCCCTGGTCATCGAGCACATCCAGGTGAACAAGGCCCCCAAGATGCGGCGTCGCACTTACAGAGCCCACGGCCGGATCAACCCTTACATGAGCTCCCCGTGCCACATCGAGATGATCCTCACGGAGAAGGAGCAGATCGTGCCCAAGCCAGAGGAGGAGGTTGCCCAGAAGAAGAAGGTATGGAGTGTAGTACCTGTTCCTCTATGGAATACCAGTGTCAGGAGGGGCCTGGAGCAGGCAGAAGGGTTGCTGTGATGACAATCTTAGGACACCTTTGGAATACCCATGAAAAAAAATCAAGTTCTTTCTGAGCAACCTCATCTGTTTTAACACTCTATTAAGAGCTTAAAAAGGTGGTTCTTCCTTCTCCCAGAGCATCCACAGTATTCCCTGTCCATGTGCATGGAGCTGGGATGTTCAGAGCTTATAAGCGCTGTAGTACTTGTGGGGACTCCTGTGTGTGCAGGTGTGGTCAGAGGGTGGTTTGTGTGGGAATTTGACAGCTCTTCCAGAAGGTAATAATCCATTAGGAGGGTGATTTCTCATTCCGTTTTCTCCTTCCCGTGTTTGTTTTCCAGATATCCCAGAAGAAGCTGAAGAAACAAAAGCTCATGGCTCGGGAGTAAATCTGTACAGACAGTTCTACATAAATAAGACTAAAAAGTTACGTTTGCTCTGTGTTGGGTTCTGACCTGGTGTGTGGGACACGGTGAACCTGCTGGCAGGGAGAATCTTGGAATCTCAGGATGGTTTGGGTTGGAAGAGAGACCTTAGACCTCATCTCATCCCCCCCCCTGCCCCGGGCAGCGACGCCTTCCACCAACCCAGGTTGCTCCAAGCTCTGTTTTGACCTCTCCCGGAGTTGGGGCAGCCACAGCTTCTCTGGGCAACCTGTGCCAGTTCCTCAGCACTCTCACAGGGAGGAATTCCTCCCCAATATCCCATCTGTCCCTGTAGTCTGGCAGTGTGAAGGCGTTCCGGGTGTTGTGTCCCTCCAGGCCCTTGTGCAAAGTCCCTCTCCAGCTCGCTTAGAGCCCCTAGTGAAGGCAAACGGGCTGTAAAGGTCACTTCCAACCCTATCTGTTCCATGATGCCATCAAAGAAATAGAGGAAAAGCTGCTCAAAGCCTTCAGTAATTGAGGGGAAAATCATGAATCACAGGAAGGTTTGGGTTGGAAG